GTAGAGGAGGAGGGAGTGGGGAGGAGACGAGGGCACCGGCAGCGGCACCTCGTGGAAGAGGAGCAGAAGGAGGAGGAGGAGGAGGAGGAGGAGGAGGAGGAGGAGGGGGAGGGAGGAGGAGGACGGGGAAGGAGGAAGTGGGGAGGACGAGGAGGAGGAGGAAGAAGGAGGTGGATAGCCTGGCAGCGGCACCTCGTCGCCCCACATCTTCCTCGCGCCCTCCTGTTATGCCCTACTTCCTTTGCCGCGTTCTCCTCCCGAGTGGAAGGAGGGGAAGCGATGGCATCGGCACTCTGCGAGCGAGCCGGCCGTCGGCAACCACGGCGGGGAACACACACGCAAGAGAAGGAAGCAGGAGAGAAGGGGAACGGGGGGGGAGGAACGAGGGGTCCCAAGGAGGGGGGAATGGAAGAGAAGGAGAGCAGCAGAGGCGGGGGGTGGAGGAGGACAAGTAGAGGAACAGAGCGCCGCATAAGCAGAACCTTTCTGCGCTCCGCGCGGATTTCTTGGAACTGCGCTGGACACCCCTCCCTGGCGCGCGGGGCGCGCCAGGGGCGGCGCCGCCAAGGGGGGGCCAGCGCAGATCCAAGAAATCCGCGCGGAGCGCCGAAGTTTCTGCTTGTGCCGTGCTTTCGCCTTCGAGCAAGTAGGCGAACACGAGGGGGAGGACGAGGGGAAGCTTCGAGCCCCCACGACACGAGGCGCCGTGCCTTCTAGCCAGTATGGGGACGGAGCGGCGGGAAGGGACGAGGAGCGGCCGCTGCTGCAGGCGACACGCCAGGAGGAGCAGCACGAAGAAACCGAGGAGCAGCAGCGCAGTCAACCCGTGCAAGAAGGACTCACGGTATACGGTAGTAGCTCGACAACAAGGAACCTTCCTTGAGGAACCCGACCCTGAGACCCCAGGCCGTGCATTGATGTTTGGCGTGGGAGAACCACGCTTTCTTCAGACAGACCATCAGAACCCAGGAGACTCGGGGCACCCTGGACGCAAGCAGGGTGTTTCTTGGCATGGGTTTCCACTGTACAATAAGGACGGACGGAAAGGGAAGGCCATGCCGACGCTCTGCGAGCGGGGCGCGGCCAGCGAAAGCGGCCAACCATGGGCCGAAAGCGAGGGATGCAAGGTTACTCGTGGAGAGTCGCTCATCCGTACTATACGGGTTAGTTAACCATATATAAACCGAAAGCAGATTGCGCCAGAGAAAAAACCGATCAGAGGATTGGTTTTCGCTGAGGAGATCGACCGGGAACCTGGGAGCCCGGGAACCCAAACTCACCGAAATCGGCCCTGGACCAATGACCGGGAACCCAGGAGCCCGGAACCGGGCACCCGGGAACCAAGCCAGACTCGGCGGGAACCTTTCGCCAAAGCTTCCAACCTAAGCTAGGGCCCCTTCAGCGCAAGCACTGATTGGGGAACAAACCAAAAGCAGAAAAAGGAGACTCGGGAGCCCTCGTCGCACGCTGCTGGGTCCGATCGGTTTCGGCGCCCCTCGCCGTCGTGCCGGCTTCGGCTGCATGGGGCTCGCGAGGGTCGCCGCCCGCGCCTGAGGAGCGCCGCGCCGTCGCCTACGCCGCCGCCGTCTCCTGCGCCAGCCCTGTGCCGTGTGCTGTGCCGTTCGCCGCGCTGTGCGGCGTGCCGCGCGCGGCGCCGCGCGCGACGAGGACGAGGACGACGAGGACGACGAGGAGGACGGCGGCGACGAGGCAGGGCGAGACAGCAGACGGAGGAGGGCGAGGCACAGCAAGGGCAGCAACAGTGGAGCCGGAGCTGCGGAGGGAGGCGCCGCAAAAGGGGCAAAGAGGAGCCGGAGCAGGCTCGGCAGCAGTAGCGGGGAGGGAGAGGCCGAGGAGGAGAGTGCGAGGGGGAGAAGCATCCTGAGGAGCATGCGAGGTGTCAGGAGGGCAAGGGCGGAGGGAACACCGGGAGAAGCCGCGGCACGGGGGAGACGCAAATTGAACCATGACGACGATGACGATGTCGTCATCGTCATCGTCATCGTCATCATCATCGCCGATATCATCATCATCATCATCATCAGCAGCATCATCATCATCATCATCATCATCATCATCATCATCCTCATCATCGCCATCGTCATCGTCAACATCATCACAATCGTCATACTAGTCATCAACATCAGCATCGGCAGCACCAGCATCATCAGCATCAGCATCAGCATCATCATTATCATCAGCATCATCAGCAGCATCATCCTCATCATCCGCATCACCATAATCATCATCCACATCAGAATCATCCACATCATAACCATCATCATCATCATCAGCATCATCAGCATCATCATCAGCATCATCCTCATTATCGTCCTCATTATCATCCTCATCCTGGACAGAGCGTGATCCCCCGCCGCTTTACTGTGGAACATTCCCCCCCTCTTCCTCCGTAGTCCGGGCCCCCCCCCCACTCCGAAAATCCCCCCCCCGTGCTGGAACCCCCCGCCCCCCCCCCTTCCCTTCCCCCGGCAACCCCCCTCCCCTCCAGAAAACCGGGGGGGGTCACTACTGGTTCGAACCCCTCCCGCCTCCCCCCCTTCGGAAAACTGGGGGGGGGTACTTCCGGTTCGAACACCCCACCCTCCCTCCTCCGGAAAACCGGGGGGGGTCACTACCGGATCGAACCCCTCCCCCCCTCCCAAGAAACCCGGGGTTCACTACCGGGTCACTACCGGCTCGAACCCTCCCCCCTAGAAAAACCGGGGGGAATCACTACCGGTTCGAACCCCCCCCCCTCGAGAAAACCGGGGGGGGGGTCACTACCGGTTCGAACCCCTCCCCCCCCGCCCCACCCACGCTCACCGCTGGCAAACGACTCCCGGGTCCCTACCACCGTCCGCAGCACATCCCCCACTGCTGTCCCCACCACCACTGTCCTCACCACCGCTGTCCCCACTGTTGCCACCACCGTCCCCAGTCCCCACCAGTGCCTCCACGACATGTCGCACTGTTCCCACTGTCCCAACCACTGTTCCCACCACGGTCCCACTCTCCCCACTTTCCCCACGGCCCCAACCACTGTCCCACTGCCCCCACTACCCCACTGTCCCCGCCGCTGTCCCACTGAGCTGTCCCACTGTTCCCACCACTGTCACGACCACTGTCCCCACTGTACCTTTGTCTCTTTGTCCCACCGCCGTCCTCGCCACCGCTCTCACCACTGTCTCCACCACCACTGTCCCACTGTCCCCACCATATTCCCACTGTCCCCACAACACTGTCCCCACCACCACCGTCCCCACCACTGTCCCACATTCCCCACCACTGTCCGACTGTCCCCACTACTGTTCCCACCATTGTCCTCGCTGTCCCCACCAGTGCCCCCACCAGTGTCTCACTGTCCCCACTCTCCCCACCATTATTCCACCACGGTCCCACTCCCCCCACTTTCCCCACGGTCCCCACCACTGTCCCAGTACTCCCACTGTACCCACCACTGTCCCACTGTCCCCGCCGCTGTCCCACTGTGCTGTCCCACCGTCCCCACTGTCCCCACCACTGTCCCTTTATCCCAACAGACCCCACCACTCTCCCCACTGTACTACTGTCCCACCACTGTCCTCACCGCCGCCTTCACCACTGTCCCAACCACTACCGTCCCCACCACTGTCCCACTGTCCCCACCAGTCCCGCTGTCCCCATCACCACTGTCCCCACCACCCCCGTCACCACCACTGTCCGAACCACTGTCCCCCACTGTCCCAATGTCCCCGCACCACTGTCCCCACCACCAGCGTTCCCACCACCCAGACTCCAGACCATTGTCCAACTATCCCGAGGAGTGGGAATCGTTGCCGGCGGCGAAGGGGGGGGTTCGAATTTCGAGTGGGGGGGCTCGAACCGGTAATGACCCTCCCCCTTTTCATGATTGACTGGGGGGGGGGAGGGGTTCGAACCCGTAGTGACCCCCCCCCGGTTTTCGAGGGGAGGGGGACGGGTTGGGAACCCCCAGTGACCCACCCCCGTTGTCCGCCAGCAGTGGTAGAACACGCTCTTTCTCAGCCTCATGCTCCTCACCATCACAATCATCATCACCATCACCATCACCATCACCATCACCATCACCATCATCATCATCATCATCATCATCATCATCATCATCATCAGCAGCAGCAGCAGCAGCAGCATCAGCATCAGCATCATCATCATCATCATTATGGTAAGCATCATCATCGTAATCAGCATCAGCAGCATCAGCATCATCATCATCATCATCATCATCATCGTCGTTATCATCATCATCATCATCATCATCATCATCATCATCATCATCATCATCATCATCACAAGCATCATCAGCATCATCAGCATCATCACCATCATCATCATCAAACTCAGCATGATCACCAGCATCATCATCTTCTTCTTCATCGTCATGATGATCAGCATCAGCAAAATCATCATCATCATCATCATCATCATCATCATCATCATCAGTAGCATCATCTTCCTCAGCATCCCCCTCCTCATTCCCCTCCTCATCCTCATTGTCATCATCATCACCACCATCATCATCATCATCAGCATCATCATCATCAGCATCATCATCATCATCATCATCATCATCATCATCATCAATATCATCATCATCATAAGCATCATCATCATCAGTAGTATCACCATCATCGTCACAACCACCAACATCATCAGCATCATCAACATCAGCAATAACATCATCAACACCATCATCATCAACAACATCATCATCATCGCCATCGTCGTCGTCGTCATCATAATCATCCGCATCATCAACATTAACATCATCAACAACACCAACAACAACATAATCGAACCCGACGCCCGGGTCAACCACACCTGTGGCCAATGATCTTATCCGTGCTCGCGGATACCGGGCGTCCTCCAAGGGTGGGGGCGAGGAAGAAGAGGCCGCAGGAGCAGCGGAGGCCAGCTTCACTGTACGTACTCGCCGGGGGGCAGCAGGGAGAGTCGTCAACAGGTCTGTCGCTGCTCAATGGCAGGGCGATGCGGCCTGATGGTGCCGCGTCGACGTCGACGTCGACATCGTCGGCGCCGTCGACCTCGACGGCGTCCTTGCGCTCGCCGCCGTTCTTCTCCCTGGGCGATGGCGGCGACTCCCCGTTCGGACGTTGCGTGATGGGGAGGCGAAAAATGGGGGGTGAAGAAAGGTGCACCTCTTGGGCCCTGAAGGGGACCCCCTGGGGACCAAAGTCCCGGAAGCTGGAATCCCGTCGAGACCCGGCGAAACCTTCCGCAAACTTTGAACCTCGATCCCCCCCCGACTCTAATCCCCCCTCCGAAGCGACCTCGATTACGGCAGGTTTGTGTCGTGCCGACCCCAGCGTTGGTTTTTGACACCGCGCTGGATCGTTCAACCTTGAACGATCGGCCGTCTCCGCAACGTCCAAATGTTCAACATCGAACGATTCTGGGCCGCCGTCGGCGTTCAACGTTGAACGCCCGCGCTGGGGTCGCCGCTGGTCGACACGACGCGAACCTACCGTACTTCGATCCGACAGTACGTTTGGCCTCTTCTGAACGTCTTCGCCGTCGGCAGCGGCGCCGGCAGCAACGTCGACGACTCCGGCGACGTCGCCGCACGCGCGAGCGCGCCGCGAGCGGGGCGGTGGGCGCCCGGCGCAGCCGCACGCGAGCGCGATGAGGGCCGCGCAGGCGCCGACCTCCCAGCGGCGGTGCTGCCCGCCGCCTTCTCCTACTCCTCCTCATGCTCTCCTTCTTCTTCTTCTTCTTCATATTAATATTATGATTATAAGTATGGTTACTCTTCTGATGAATATGAATATGATTATTATTTGTATATTATCCCCTTCCTCCTCCTCCTCATCCTGCTCCTTCTCCTCCTCCTCTTCCTCCTCCTCCTGCTCCCGCTCCCGCTGCCCTCCCTCTCCCCCTCCCCCTCCCGCCCCCCCTCCCGCTCCCGCTCCCCGCTCCCCCTCCCCCTACCCTTCCCCCTTCTCCTCCTCCTCCCTCCTCCTCCTTCTCCTCCTGCTCCTCCTGCTCCTCCTCCTCCTCCTTCTTCCCTCCTCCTCCTCCTCCTTCTCCTCCTCCTCCTCCTCCTATTCCTATTTCTCCTCCTCCTCTTCGTCGTCCTCCCCCTCCTCTCCCTTCTCCTCACCCTAATTTCGTCCTCGTCCTCCTCATCCTCCTCATCCTCCTCCTCGTCCGCCTCGTCCTCCTCGTCCCTGACCCTCCTCGTCCTCGTCCTCCTTTTCATCCTCCTCGTCCTCCTCCTCCTCGTTCCCCTTGTCCTCCTCGTCCTCCTCGTCCTCCTCTCCTCTTCCCTCCTTCTCCTCCTCCTCCTCCTCCTCCTCCTGCTCCTCCTGCTCCTCCTCCTCCTCCTCCTCCTCCTCCTCCTCCTCCGCCTCCTCCTCCCCCACAGTAATACAATGTGAATACCACTCTCCCCTCTCCCCTGAGTCTGTGTGGAAGATGGTTCGCACCCCTCCGCGTACGGTTTCTTACACACAAGATTGCTGGGAATGTGGCATCATATGTGTGTTTGACACTCCGACTGTTCTCGGTCCTTCAATATGTTGCTCCCGCTGCAGCGCTGGCCCCGCTTCTGCGCCTCCAGTCGTTCCAAATCGTGCTGCCACTGCATCGTTTGAAAGCAATCTGCCGGCCCCCTTCCGGAGCCACCAGGCTGTAGGGCGAAGGTTCGCAGTTTCCTGTACCAGTTGCAGCTTCCAGTTTCCACTGTTACAGCTCTGCTTCTTGCTGCTTACTGTTCCTTGTTGATGGACCGCGCGAGGGGGGAAGCACAAACGGGCAGGTTTAGCACGCCCTGAGCGTGTGCTCTGAATTGCTGGGGTGGGTTAAAATTTACACCCCTCACGCAGATCGGCGGGGTCAGGGTCCAAAAACACACGGGATTTGCCACATGTCTGAAATTCGGTGGCAACCCTCACGCAGATCGGCGGGGTCAGGGTCCAAAAACACATGGGATGTGCCACATTTCTGAAATTCGATGGCACCCCTCACGCAGATCGGCGGGGTCAGAGTCAAAAAAAAATGAATTGCAACATTTCTGACATTCGGTGGCACCCCTGATGCAGATCCGTATGGTCCCGACACTGCTTCACGGTGGCGCCCAGGCCTCATGATTTAGCTTTTGCATCTCACATTAGTCGAGACGGGGGGCCAGCGGCATGGGGTGAAGCCCTTACGGATATCAGGCGGGAGTTCTGCTTCTGCTTTGAGAAGGCGATCTTGATAACAAAGCCCGCGGATGCTTTCGATCAGCTGGGCCTCATTTGGAGCTGTCCGGGGTGCCCAGGGAGCTGAACAGGGAGCCGCAACTCCAGACAGACCCAGACCCCTCGAAGACAATCAACTCCAAGGAGCCCGGTGCCATGCCTTCACATGCAGCGCGGTGTGCCGCTGCACCCCGAGGCCAGTTTTTAGGGCGGGCCGGGCGTTTCGCCTGAGACTCCCCCAACACTTTTAACTCCGAAACTTACATATTGGCAACAATTTTACACATGGAGAACGGGTGCTTTACAACATGTGGCTCCCGCTTTAGCGCCGCGCGCGGGCGTTCTAAAACATACAAGAGCGTCACGGATTGAGGATCATCCGTTTTCACAATGTGGCTCTCGCCTTAGCACCGCGCACATTCGTTCTAAAAATCAACGTACCAGAAATTGCGTCATGGAAATATTAACTATTTTGCTGGTGCAACAGCTACGTTGGTTCGCGGTGTTGAAGTCCCAATGCGTGGATTTCATGCAACATCCAAGATCGTCAAGGCGCAACGGTAAAATTGATCCGTGGCGTTGAAATCCCGAGAACCATGCTTTGGCATGCTTCCGGGTCTTCAAATGGCCCGGGGAGGGAGGAGGGAGGAGGGAGGAGGGAGGAGGGAGGAGGGAGGAGGGGAGGAGGAGGAGGGAGGAGGGAGGAGGGCGGAGGAGGGGGAGGAAGGGGAGGGAGGAGGAGGAGGAGGGAGGAGGGAGGAGGGAGGAGGGAGGGAGGGAGGAGGGAGGAGGGAGGAGGAGGAGGAGGAGGAGGAGGGAGGAAGGAGGAGGAGGAGGAGGAGGGAGGAGGAGGAGGAGGAGAGGAGGAGGAGGAGGAGGAGGGGGGGATGCATCGACCCTAGTGGATCATCGACGCGAAGTCGACGCTAAGTCGACGCTAATCGACGCGACCTCGACGCCAGATCTGGGCTCCCCGATCTCCATTGCCAGACGCTCATCGGAGCGAACGCGCTCGAGAAACAGACCTACAAAGGGACACAAGGCCCCCATGATTTGCTACCGAAGCAAGTGCTGGTTGGTCAGGAGGGCAAGGACAGGGGGGGGACTGGCATAGGGGGGGATGCATCGACCTGGAATCGGCGATACGTCGCCGATAGATCGGCGAAGGGCCCCCGATAGTGAATCCGCACCCTCCTGTGCAGCTTGGGGCCATCGGGCCCCCATCGGCGATCAGTGCGCGCTTGCGGGTCGCTGCGTCCCCCCCTATGCTTTAGGTCGGGCATGTCCCCCTACAGGGGGATGTTGGACGCAGGATCAGGCGCACCGAGAGCAGATCCCCGAGGATGGAAAACAAACAAACAAATGCTCACAACATCGTCCCCTGACTATGTCTTGACTGCTTTCGAACAGTCCCCCTGTAGAGTAACAGGCCCGACTGGAGCCTACGCCTAGGAGGAGCAGTCGAGCAGTGGCGGGGGGAGGAGGAGGAGGAGGAGGAGGAGGAGGAGGAGGAGGAGGAGGAGGAGGAGGAAGAGGAGGAGGAGGAGGAGGCCCCGGGCCGCCCCGCGAGGGCGGCGGGCGGGGCCAGTCGCCACAGGTAGCCGCGCAGGACCTCGGCCTGCCGCGAAAGGGGCGCCGCCGCGGCGCGCGCTTCCGGAGGGGCCCGGCGAGGAGCACGACGAAGCCAGGACGAGGGCAACATTCGGGTTGAGTCCTCCCCCTCCTCCTCCTCCTCCTCCTCCTCCTCCTCTGCTCCTCCTCCCTCCTCCTCCTCCTGCTCCTGCCTCCTCCTCCGCTGCTCCTCCTCCTCTCCTCCTCCTCTCCTCCTCCTCCTCCTTCCTCCTCCTCCTCCTCCTCCTCCTCCTCCTCCTCCTCCCCCCCCCTCTCCCTCCCGTTCTCCCTCTTCCTCTTAGGATACAGCGAGGATCTCTGGAGCGCGTGTCTTTGCTTTCGGCGATAATGGGTACAGTGGGGCCAGGGGGGGGATATAGTGCAACGCCTCCCCCCCTGCCGCGCGCACGGCGGCACTGCCCGGAGCACGATGAAGCCAGGACGAGGTCAACATCGGGGGAGGAGACATCGAGTGCGAGGCGGGGATGTATCCAGATCCACCGCCTGGGAACTGACGTCCTGGTGCCCCAGCGGGCGGCGGATATGGATATATTTCGGCCCCCAGGGGCCCGAATATGTCCATATCCACCGCCTGCCGAGGCTCCGAAAACTGACACTCCAGGCGGTGGTCATGTATACATTCCCGCCTCGGACCAACAATCTCTGAGATACGGCGAAGCCAGGACGAGGGTTATGTTGCTTACATCGTACTTAAAGACCACATCCCAGAACGAATTTCGAGCACCCAGAAAAATGTCGAAAAAGTATCGACACAGGGTCGAGACAGTGTCGAGCGATTGTCTCCCAGACACGTGAAAACCCTCGAGTTTCGGTCCTTTTTTGGTGGTCGATTTTTTTTCTGGTGGTCCAGGCTGAAATAGGTTGGAACATCCTAAGACGAGGGCAACATCGGGTGCGGGTACAACGAGGATCTCTGAGATCCGGCGGTTCCGGAGGACGTCTCGGGCGCCGCGGCCTTCTCAGAGCGCTCCAGAGCGCTCTGAGAGCGTGCCGGAGCGCTCTGGAACGGATTTGCCCTCGTGCTACCCCTTCCCGGAGGAGGGAGGACCGAGTGGAGGGGCTCGGAGGGAGGCCCTCGGAGCGCCCCGGTCGGCCCGGCAGGCCCGCGCGTGCTCGGTCCTCCCGCGCCCAGAGTGCCAGCCGGTGCTCTCATTTCAGGGTCGACGGGGGGGGGGTCCCGCACAGTGGGGTGGGCAAGAGAGAGGGGGCGGTCGAATCAGCTATGCGTCCCTGCGGTCTTCCTTCACTGGTGGGCCCTGGAAACGACAAGGCCGCTCTGTTACCGGTTCCGTTTCGCCATGTGTTTGCCGGCTCGGACGCAGCTGTTGCGACTGTTCCGTCGCCGTTCTGTCGCGGGTTCCGGCTCCGATTCCAATCCTGGAGCCGTTTCCTTTGCCGTGTTCGGTCGACGGCTTTTGGCCGCTTCCATTTTCAAGAGACGCTCTTGCGGAAACGGTGAAAAAACGGCCCTGCCGGCGGGGCTGAGACCAACTGCTTGCAGCAAGCTTTTACCCACACCTTTCCCTCCCAAATCAGATCCTGGGACCCCGATCCCCCCCCCAAAGATGTCCCGAAAGCACCACGACGACGACAAAGGGGAGAGGGATAAGGAAGAGGACGAGGGATTTGTTTCTCAGGGTTGCAGTCAAGATTAGGTCCGGCATGTCCTCCTACAGGCGGATTTTGCAACACAAGCAAAAATATTATACCTAACGTTTAAACTCATCAAACAAAATAAAACACCTTCCCTGAGTATTTTACTATTCTCGGATATTTCTCCTGTAGGGGGACATGCCCGACTCAAAGATATCCACAGTCGACGGGGACCGAGTTCAGGGCAGATCCCAAGACCCCACCCTGTACCTCCCATCCTCGCCTTCTTGCTGGTTGGTACGCTCGATCGCTCGTCGGTGCATCACCAAAGCCCCAAATCTAATCGAGAAGTCGGATCGGTGATCGACATGACTTGGGTCGATGGAAATCGGAAGTCAAGTTGGGAGAAGCTGAATCGGCGGAAGTCGGCGGGCTAGTGAGGCCTCCATTGCGACCCCGAAATCCAGATCGGGATCCGAAGTCCAACTCGAGTCGGAGTCGGAATCGACCAAAACCAAAACCAATCGAGTCGGAGAGGTCGAAAAGAGCCCCGTGCTGGTCGGTGCGCTCGATCGCTAGTCGGTGAAGGCCTCGGAGACCGCCTTCCCGGCCCGCAGGAAGAGGACAGGCCCACCGGCCCCCTGGGGCCTCCGCCGCGTCGGCGATCCCGGGCCACCACCGGGCTCGGCTCAGGGTGTCAAGCACTAGGTCGGGCATGTCCTCCTAGATGTGGATTTGGGAATTCTGTTTACGGTCACGAGATCACCGCGGAACCTCCTTGCACAGCCCGTCGCCTTCCCGACCTCCTCACATCTTCGTCGGTTTCTCCGATCCTCCTCCCCATGAGATCCTGGCGTTGCAATGTTTTCACAACGGGAATTTCCGCTCGGTTTTGAGCCCCAGGACCCTCAGATCGATCCGGCTCGAAAAATGATGCAGACCCCTCGTAGCTAGAAGAAACAATAAAACCAGGGACGTAAACTTCTGGCGATCCGCACAGACTTCTTGGATCTGCGCTGGACCCCCCTCCCTGGCGCGCGCAGCGCGCCAGGGGTGACACCGGAGGCGACGCCTGGGGCGCCGGAAGTTTTTTTTTTTTTATGCCGATGTTTCTTCTTCGAGTATTATCTTCCTCGGTTTCTCCTGTCCTCCTTCTCCCCTCACCCTCCTCGACGGCATCGAGACCGACAAGGACGACGACCACGACGGCAACGATCACGACGACGAGAATGACAAAGATCACGATAAACGATCACGACGACGACGACGACGATCACGACGACGACGTAGATCACGACGACGATGACGACAACGGCAGTGAAGAGGGCCACGTCGACGACGACAACGACAACGACGACGACGACGACGACGAGGACGACGACGACGACGACGACGACGACGACGACGACGACGACGGCGGTGGCGTCGGCGGCAGCGGCGGCGGCGGCAACGACGATGACGACGAGGCCAACGGACCCGTGGCTCCCTCGCAGACGAGGGCGACGCCGGCGAAGGCGAAAGGCGCCACCCGGGGGGGGCGGCGAGCGACGACGTGATCCCCTGGGCCTCCTCGCCCTCGCAGTCCTCGTAGCCGGGGGCGGGCTTCGGCATGCCCATAGCGCAGGGTCTGCGGCGCCCGCAGGGAGGCGTCGCTGGCGCCGACCGGCCGTCGCCGCCAAAGCCGCCGTCATCAATGGCCGCCGTTGCGGACGTGGCTGTCGTCGCCGCGGTGGCCGTCGCCGTCGTCGACGATGTCGCCGTTGTCCTCGCGGTCATTGCCGTCGCCGTCACCATGGTCCGTGGTCGTCGCGAACGTCCCCGTCGCAGATGTCTTCGTGATCGTCGAGGTCGTCGAAGTCACCGCCGTCTTCGCCGTCGTCGACGCCCGTGCGCCAGGGGGTCGCTGGCCGTGCCGGCCAGGTCCCCGCAAGACGAAGGCTCCGGGGGCGACGGCGATGTCGACGACGGCCACGACGACCACGACAACAACGGCAACCACAAAAACCACCAAGGCGACGTCAAAGACGACGAGAACGACGACGACGACGGCGACGGCGACGGCGACGGCGACCGGCGAGGGCGACCGCAGCGACAACGGCTGCCACGAAGACTACCATGACGACGGCAGCGACGACCACGACAGCGACGACCACGACGCACCGACGTAGGACTCCCCAACATCCCCACAAGCCGCGCGCGATCGCGCATGGAGCACAGAGGGTTGCTGCCATGACAGTGGAAACTCCTGCCATGACAGATCTGGGCTCCTGCCCCAAGTCCAACCATGGGAGTCCCCGAACGACGAAGACCGCGACGACGACGACCGACCACCACCACGAGGAAGGTGCGTCTTCTTGAGAAGGATGCAGTGGAGGCCAACCCACAAGACACCTTCCACAGGAAACCCAACCCTGAGACCCCAGGACGCCCATCAATTTCTAGTGTGGGGACGTCACGCTTCCCACGGCACCCTCGAGGCAAGCAGGGTGTGGAGGAGGAGGAGGAGGAGGAGGAGGAGGAGGAGGAGGAGGAGGAGGAGGCACCCACTGTACCGCCCCTGCATATTGTGGTGCTGCCTCGGGGACCGGTGCTGCACGCGCGGTGCCCTTTTTTCCAGGGCCCGTGCGGCCAGGAAGGCGCGTCACCATCCCTCAGTCGGGTGCTGCCCCGCGGCGTCCCGGGCCCAGGGGAAGGAGGAGGAGGAGGAGGAGGAGGAGGAGGAGGAGGAGGAGGAGGGGGAGGGGGGGAGGGGGAGGAGGAGGAGGAGAGGAGGAGGAGGAGGAGGAGGAGGAGGAGGAGGAGGAGGAGGAGGAGGAGGGGAGGGAGGAGGAGGAGGAGGGGGGAGAGGAGGAGGAGGAGGAGGAGGAGGAGGAGGAGGAGGAGGAGGAGGAGAAGGAGGAGGAGGAGCAGGAGGAGGGGGAGGAGGACTTCCAGGGAGGCTCCCGCGGCATCCAGAGCATCCCTCACGAGGCCAATCTCGGGCCCCAAGTCCCAGGGGCTCCCGCACGCAGCGAAGAGAGGGGGCCGCGCAGGGCCATGGACACATCTGGCAGCCCTCGACGCGGGACCCCGCTCACCAGCGGGCGCTGCCCTCCAGGCTCGACGCTCAGCTCAGGAGGACCGAGCGAGGCTGTCTGAGGCAGCGGAGCCCAGAGTCGAATCGATAAGTTGACTCGGCGATCGAAATGAATCGGATCGGCGGAAATCGGCAGCCGCGTCGGGAGGAGTCGAAACGGCGGAAATCGGCAGAGCAGTGGGGCCTCGCTGAGACATCGGAATCCAGATTGGACCTCGAAGTCGAATCCAATCGGAATCGGACCTGTTTTTATCGAAATCGAATGGAATCGAATCGGAGAGATCGAGCCGAGTCCTGGTCGGGGGAGGGCCCGTTGAGTATGAGACGCCCGCCGGGCCCAAAGCCGCTCCAACTCGGCCCCCTGGACTGAAGTCGGGCATTTCCCCCTACAGGCGGATTTTGGGCGACGAAATAAAAACAATCACCCAAACATGTGCCAACATAATCAAACATGCGATTTAAATCACCCCGCACTATTTTGTAACTATTTTTGAATATTTGCCTCCCGTAGAGGGACATGCCCGCCTTAACCCTGGACCTCTGTTGGCTTCCATCCTCGCCCGTCCCTCGTGGCGACTCCAGCCGTTGAGTATGGTTGATCCGATCCCCATCCCCAACGGCGTGGCCTGGGCCCCACTGGCCGATCTACCTCCCTAGATGGGGATGTAGGCCGTCCTCTTCGGGCTTCGAGGGGTGCATCTCCAACTGGGGTGCTAATTTGGCGGGGGTCTCGAAGGAGATGAGGATGGAGGAGGAGGAGGAGGATGAGGAGGAGGAGAAGGAGGAAAGGAGGAGGAGGAGGAGGAGGAGGAGGAGGAGGAGGAGGAGGAGGAGGAGGAGGGGAGGAGGAGGGAGGAGGAGGGAGGAGGAGGAGGAGAGGAGGACGAGGGGGAGGACGGGGGAGGAGGGGGGAGGAGGAGGAGGAGGAGGAGGGAGGGAAAGGGGTTGTTACAATGCTCGGAGGGAAGAACATTTTGAGGGGAAGGGGGATGAGGATGAGGAGGAGGAGGAGGAGGAGGAGGAGGAGGAGGAGGGAGGAGGAGGAGGGGGAGGGGGAGGAGGAGGAGGAGGAGGAGGAGAAGGAGGAGGAGAAGGAGGAGGAGGAGGAGGAGTCAGAGGAGGAGGATGAGGATGGGCATGTGGGGGCCGGACAAACGACACAGAGCCGCGGCGACGCGGCAACTCCCGGGGAGGCCCAGGAGGAAGGACGCGACACGGCCTCGCCGGGGAGGGCCGCCGCCGTCTTCACCGGCCCTCCTCCGAGAAGAATCGCAGCGACGGCCGCAGAGGCACTGGCACATGACAGCATTTAGTGCTTCACCACGACCCACGTGGCCCCAAACCGCACCCAAGACGGTGGAAGAGCGACCCGACAAGCCGAGTCTTGCTCCCCTGTAAGCGAGCAACAGCACCGCACACAGCGGAGCCGAGAGTGAACCGAGGGGTCGGCAGACGTGGCGTAATCCTATAGAATCGCAGAGACGACCGCGGAGGCATGCCCTAGGAGACGTAGAAGAAGAAGAAGAATAATATGAATAATCACATCAACAACGCATAGACATGAACCTGTGGCGCTCCGCGCGGACTGCTCGGATCCGCGCTTTGGCCCCCCCTCCCAGGCGCGCGGAGCGCACCAGGGGCGGCGCAGGAGGCGCCGCCGGGATGGGCCCCAGCGCGGATCGGAGCGCCGGAAGCTCATATGCCCACGGCATGCTTCCTCCTCCCGTGGGCGGCGCCAGCCTGATCCGCACGTAGTCCACGGGGCGCACGCCCGTGGCGTCGCAGGCGCCTCGCGCGGGCAGGGCCGCTGGCCGGCCGAGAGGCGGTGGTCGCGGCCGCCGCCGCCGCCGCAGCCGCCGCCGCCGCGGCGGACAGCTGCCCCCGATCTCGCCGCCGCCGCCGCAGTCGCCGCCGCTGCGGTCCTCGTCGCCGCCGGCGCGGCCCGAGGGCGGGGGAGACAGGGGGGCGGGTTGAGCAGGGGCCGACCGTCCCGGCATTCCCAGGGAAGCCGACCACGGCATGGTCTTCGCAGAACCCAGTGCCGAGCATGCTCTGGGAGCATGTCGCAGGAGCCCGCCAGCCGGCCCGGCCAAGCATGCTGCAGAAACCGGCAGCTCTGAAGCAGGACGGTCCCAGCCAGAGATGCTCGAAGAGCACTTCGTAGAGACCACCCAAGAGGCTCTCAGAACAGATCCTGGTGGGCCGATAGGCACGCCGGGACGCCTCGCCACTGCTCCAAGGGGGGGCGCGCGGAGGTCCGGCTTGGAGGCCCGAGGACCGCGGCCCTCTCCTGGCTCGGATGCTCTGCCGTGGCTTTCTCTCTCTCTCTCTCTCTCTCTCTTTCGCAGGGCTTTCGCGCGCATCTTCGCCTCGCGGCCCCTCCAAGGCGGCTCTCGCCATCGGTCGGACGTCCATTCCCCGTGCATTTTTTGATTTCGCAAACGATCAGTCCAGGTTACAAGACGATCGACAACCAGGTTCTCCCCGTGCATCTGGTCAAACTGTGTAACCTGTGGCACAAACCTCGTTTGGCAACTCATGCCAAAACACATGTTGCATTGCATTGTGTAACTGCCAACTCATCCAGTTGGGGGATTGCATGTGTAACCTTTACGCCCGTGCATGTGTTCGCAGACGATCAAGGATGCTCCAGGAATGGTCCCCGCCGAGAAAGAGATGCGCACGTCTGAGCGACGCCGAGGGCTCGAGGCAGACCAGGAAACGGACCACACAGAAAGGGTCGGATTCGGTCGGGCATGTCCCCCTACAGGCGAATGTTGGACGTACATTTTGTCATACCCCCAGGAAAACTCAAAAAGCATCAAAGCCTCGAAAAACCGTCCCCAGGCAGTGTTCTCCTATTTTTGAGCGTTCCTCCTGTAGAGGGACGGGCCCGACTTCAGGTCCGGATGTCTGCGCGGATTTCTGGCATCGGCGCTGGAAGCCCCTGGACGCGCCTCTGGCGCCGTCCCTGGCGCGCTCTGCGCGCCAGCGAGGAGGGCCCAATGAAGATCCACGAAGTCCGCGCGGACCCCCAGAAGTTTATGTCCATCAACGGGCGAAGAACGGTATAACATAAACTTTTTCGCTGTCGGGGGCGCCTGCCCCTGGGCGGCTGGAAAGTTTATACCCTTACGGTGGCACCGTAGGGGTATAACCTTGACTTTCCAGCCGCTCAGGGACAGGCGCCCCCGACAGCGAAACAGTTTATTTTCTACTGTTCTTCGCCCGTTAAGTCCATGACGTCCTTTCCTCTTCGCGTGGTGGCTGTGGTTGTGGCCCTGGCATCCCACAGGCAGTCGTCCGCGATAGCGGGCCTGCATGACCTGCCTGGACGGGAGCGCCGCCGAGGACGGAGAGGACGACGAGGACAGGGGGCGAGGGGGAGGAGGAAGGCGAAGGGCGAGAAGGCGAGGATGCAGGATGAGCAAAGCAAACCCAAGATGCATCAACGATGATGCACTGCACCCCCCCGGTCCCCAAAATTGGCACGGGGAAGCGGTTCCTGAGGGAAACGGGTCCTGGGCCCCAGGGGCCTTCCCACAGAACGACCTTCTCATGCCGAGTCGATTTCTGACGCTCCTGGGGGTCCGTGGAGGGCCCCGACGGCCCGAAACCGGCAAAACGCCTTTCCCACAGGATGACCCCTTTCCCCGAAAACGGGGGAAACCAAAAGGTACTCCAGATTTCGTAATAAAGGGAGGGGGGTCTCATTTCGGGGGGGGGTCTCTTCCAGGCTATCTTGGAGGGCCTGGGGGGGTCTGGGGACGATGTTTTGGAGGGTTCTCCCACGGGGGGGGTCTAAAACTTCTCGTCTGGGAGGGTTGCGACCCACTCGGTTTTATTACGAAATCTGGAGTACCGATACTGCTACTCTCTGGACCTCTCCCAGGGTGCGTTCTGACCAGAGTTTCGAGACGAATCCAGCGGCGGCGACGAGTGCCTCCCAGGAGGCCCAAACAGGGGGAAACGAAGGGACAGTATAGCGGTATGGGTACCTCTTCCGTCTCTGGGGGAGGACCCCTCTCCCCGAATCCGTCGAACATCCATTCCCCGAGAACGGTGCGAACAAAAAGAACCCGAGCTCCCCCACAGTGCAGGCCCCTGCCCCTCTCCCGCCGCGGGGGGGGGGAGGGGCAGACGGCCCTCCCCCCGTGGGCCTGCCTGTGTAAAGGGGCCCCAGGACACACACACACACACACACACACACACACACACACACACACACACGCACACGCACACGCACACGCACACACGCACACGCACACGCACCACGCACACGCACACACGCACACACACACACAGATACACACATAAACATATTCCCCATGTTTTCCCATGTTCTCGGGGGTTCTCGACATCCCCCCCCCACTTCCCATATCTTCCCATATGTTCTGGGGATCGACGATTCATTCTGTCTGTGTTGTTTCCTCTCCTGGCTATGGGCCGACTATGAGGGGGCAAGGGGGGCGGCCCGCGACGGAGCACCGCTGCCACGTTGGGCGGCCGGTGACGACGAGCTGCCGCTGCTCAGAGGGCAGGGACGGTTCGCGACACGAGGGCCCCTGGCCCTGTGGCGGGGGACCCAAGTCAGGAAGGCACACAAATCCGCCGACCCTGTCGGCGTGTGCGAGGGGTTTCCTCGTCCGTTCCTCGCCGCCCCCCCTTCTTCCTTCCCCCTTTTTCCTTTTTGGGCCGTACCCTCCTGCCGTCATGCCGTTGTCGATTCGAAGGGAAGCCCCTTCCCTTTGATCCCTTCCCCAGGGGGGGGTTCCCGGGGAGGGGTGGGGGGGGGTCCCGGGGGGGATGGGGTGGGGGGGGGGTGGACCCAGAACACTAGGGATGGGGGTGCCTTTCCTGCAGATGTATCGAACCAGACCGCCCAGATCGACCATCCCTAATGCAAAGACGGGGACCTCAGTGAGGCCACGTCTTCATCGCGCTACTGGGGTTAGAGGTATCTTTTCTCCTCGAAGAAGGACAAGCACCCTCATAATGAGCACCCCGACAGGCGAAGCCGTTTGGTAAACGAGCCCAAGGAAGGAATCGAGCAGGACGAGGCTGTTTCGTAAACGCCCAGGGCCGTCTCGTACACGCCGATGATGGGGGGTCGGGGTGCGTTTCCCTCCCCCGACTGCTGCCGCGGGATGCGACCCCCTTTGGGGGGCGAGCGCTGCATGGGCCCCGCAGGGGTGAATTAGCATGAAGGGAACGGGCCCTGAGGGAAGCGGATCATGGACCCTTCCTCCTTCTCCTCCTCCAGTTCTCCTCCTCCTCCTCCTCCTGCTCCCCTCCTCCACTCCTCCTCCTCCTCATCATCCTCTTCCTCTGGGGCCTTCAAGGCCCTAGGTAGGACCAGCTCTTCTAGAGGCGCCCAGGGACGCACACACACACACACATACGCACACACACACAAAACACACACACACACACACACACACACACTCACACACACACACACACACACACACGCACCACACAAACAACACACACAGTCAAAACTTAGTACACACAAATCCTAGGATTCCCCGTATTCCCTTTTTTATCTGGGCTCTCGTCTCCCCCCCACTTCCCCTATGTTCTTATATGTTCCCAGGAGTCGCCCATGAATTGTGCCTGAGTGATTTTGACCCCTTGGTTTTCATCCTGACCCGTTTTCTCGCAGTCCCAGGGCCTGTGGAGGGCCCCGGAAAGCCCAAAAACAGGGCCCATTTCCCCCAGGACTGAGGGGAACGACAGGGGAGGACTGGCATAGAAGGGGGCTGCATCGACCTGGAATCGATGATGCATCGTCGATAGATCGGCTATAGGCCACCGATAGCGAATCCGCGCCTTCCTGGGCGGGGTGGGGCTATCAGACCCCTATAGGCGATCAATGGGCGACTGGGGGGTCCATGCGCCCCCTCCTTTGCCTATCCCCATTCCCAGTGGTTTTCCCATCAGAACTCGGGCCTCTGGCGGCCGTTCGGGACGATGCGGGCACCCTGGGAACGCCCTCGGCGAGGCGCAGCTGCGAGAGAGGCCCCCGAGGCTGGAAGGTCGCCGAGGACCGATGAAAACGCAAGAAAACCTCAATGGATCGACCCCTTTAAGCAGGGACCGACCGTCCCAGCATTCCTAGAGGCCTACCACGAGATGTTCTTGGAATCCACAAACCTCGAATCACAAAAACAACGTTCTTAGAGCAAAAGCCATAAAACCGACAGTCCCAGCCGGAAATGTTCCAGAAACATTCCCTGCAGGCCAAAAGAGGCTCTCGGGACCGTCTTCGGGGGGCCTCTCGGCGGGCCAGGACGCGTCGCCACTGCTCGTCCCCTGGAGCCGGTCCCCTCCGCTACCGTTTTGGACACCCGAAATGGGTACCGAAAGAATGGGTACTATGCCCTACAACAAATGTTGTCCCAAACCAACAGCGGCCGCTGTTGGTTTGGCGGCCTTCTGTCTCAAATGGACACAGGCCGCGGCGGCGCGGACAACGAGTCCTGTTCAAAATGAACAGGAACTGTTGTTGGGCATTGTACCCATTCTTTCAGTACCCACTTCGTGCGTGCAGAACCTTTACCCCTGAGCATGGCGGCACGGCCGCGCCGGCCACGGCGGCAGCCCGCGGCGACGAGCTGCCGCCACGACGGCGCGCGCGCCCGCGGGCGCGCCGGCGAGCGAGCACGAGAGTCATCTGGGCGTTGCGCTTCATACGGGGGGGGGGCGGATCGGCAGATCTCACACCACCACTGCCATAGGCAGGACAGGGAGGAGGAGGAGGAGGAGGAGGAGGAGGAGGAGGAGGAGGAGGAGGAAGAGAGGAGGAGGAGGAGGAGGAGGAGGAGGAGGAGGAGGAGGAGGAGGAGGTGGAGAAGGAGGAGGAGGACGTCCCCGTCGTTGGTGGCGACACAAGTTGCCCATCAGGGGCGGGAAATTTGGGGAAAAACGTGCGCCTTTCGTGCCCGCTTTGGGCCTCAAAGGTATCCAGGGGGCCCTCTTGGGGCTCATTGAAGACACAAAGGGTGCACCAACCGGCTTTCGTCCTGGACCCAACGCGTGCAATTACAGGGGGCTCTGAGGCAGATGGCTGTTGAGGTCGAGAGGAGCTGCTGCAATCCCGCCCATCCCATCTGCGCGCTAAACTGCGACCACAACTATGTGCGCGCTAATCTTCGAGTCGGAAATTGACTGCGAACTACGTAGCACCCCGCAATTGCGGATAAGAGTGAGGGGGCGGGCGCGGGCGACGCGGGCGTCGTCGAGCCAACGGACCTCGTGGCCCCCACCTTCCTTGTCGATGGCGCTCTCCTCCACCTCCTCCTCCTCCTCTTCCTCCTCCTTTTCCTCCTCCTCTTCCTCGTCCTCATCGTCATCGTCATCCTCCTCCTCCACCTCGTCCTCCTCCTCCTCCTCCTCTTCTTCCTCGTCCTCCCTCTCCCCCCCTCGTCTTTTCATCATGGTCCTCCCATTGTCGTCCTCCCCCTCATCGGCCTCCATCATCGTCCTCCCATTGTCGTCCATCATCATCATCCTCCCCATCCTCCCCCTCCTCGTCCTCCTCCTCCCCCTCCTCCCCCTCCTCCCCCTCGTCCTCCTGCTCCTCCTCCTTTTCTTTTCCACGTTCTCCTTACATCCTCTCTTCTTCCACGTTCTCCTCGTCCCCTGTTTACTCATCCTGCCTCCCCCTCCTTTCCCAAGATAACTGCAACGCAATCTTTTGTTCCACTTTATGCTCCCCGCCTTCTCTGATCAAGGCAACTCGCCAGGGCAAAGTTGCTGGACGGGCTGGCGTGGATGTGCGGGGCGTGAAGAGGTCCTTGCGGGCTCAGACGGCATGCAAGAATCCGCCGCCGCGCTTGTGCGGCATTGGTTTGTTCAGTGAACGTGGTTTAGGTCGCGGGTGGGTCGCGGGCTCTCCACCTCCACCTGGAAGGAATGCAAAAGCAGCCCGCCGCAAGCGCCAAAACAAATTGTTCGTACACGGAACGAGGTTTGGGTCGCGGTTGGGCCGCGGGTTCTCCACAGGGAACGAATGCAAAGGATGCCCGCCGCAGGCGCCGAAAATGTGGTTTGTACCCTGAACGTGGTCGCGGGTGGGCCGCGGGCTCTCCACCTGAAACGAATGCAAAATATGCCCGCCGCAGGCGCCGAAAAATGTGGTTTGTACCCTGAACGTGGTTTGGGTCGCGGGTTGGTCGCGAGTTGGTCACGGGATGTGTCGCGGGCTCTCCACTTGGAAGGAATGCAAAAAAGCCCGCCGCAGGCGCCGAAAATTGTGGTTTGTACCTTGAACGTGGGTTGGGTCGAAGGTGGGTCGCGGGTGGGTCGCGGGGTAGGTCGCGGGTGGGTCGCGGGTGGGTCGCGGGTGGGTCGCGGGTGGGTCGCGGGTGGGTCGCGGGGTGGGCCGCGGGGGGGTCGCGGGGTGGGTCGCGGGTTGGGTCGCGGGGTGGGTCGCGGGGTGGGTCGCGGGGTGGGTCGCGGGGTGGGTCGCGGGTGGGTCGCGGGTGGGTCGCGGGTGGGTCGCGGGGTGGGTCGCGGGGTGGGTCGCGGGTGGGTCGCGGGGCGGGTTGCGGGTGGGACGACGACAACAAACAACAACAACAAACAACAACAACAACAAGAATCCGCACCGCGGAATTCCACATCAGCCACGCACCCAGGGACAGTGAATGACCGTTCGGCCCCCTCACTCTGATGTTACTCCAGACTTGAGTCTACGAAAAAGGCGTGGAAGGTTCGCAGATCTACGAACATGCTACGTGTTTCGTCGCAGACTCGACGCACAAAACCATGCTTGCGGCACTTCAACCAATTCTGTAGTCGATCTCCTGCTCCAGACCTGGGCAACCCCACCCCTTCACCGCCCCCTAGTACCTGGGGGCGCGCAAACATGGATTCAGCGGTCCATGGATTTGGCGCGCGGCCGCCAAGTCCATGGATCGGGTGAAATGCCCTCCCCAAAATGCGACCGGTGCCGCCTCGCTCGGCGGCGGAAATCCGCGACCTCCCATGAAAGCGGGGGGCCCGTCGCTAATCCGTGCCCCCCTCGATCCGTGTTTGCGATCGCCAGGATTCGACCTCTGCGCTGGGCCTCTCCAAGTCCTCCGGGATTGGAATTCCACGAGCCCGTGTCTGCGATACCCCTGCTCGCTGTCGCTGATAGGCATCTTGCGCGACGCCCGCACTCGTCGGAAGCGGCCAAGAGGGGGGTGTCCAAGAGGGGGGGGTGCAAATCATGACCGGCGGCATGTGCGCGGCCCAGCGGGGGGGCCAGGGACGTAATGAAATGAGAAGAGGCGCCATAAAATCTGGGGAACTATCATGGCCCCCGCCATGATATCCACCCCCCCCTTAGTCATCACCCCCCTCTTTTTCCGCCCCCGCACTCGCTGTTGCGTCGCCTCGTACGCCGAGGGCCATTACTGACAAGCTGCTTGGCCTTCACCTTCCACGGAGACTGCACGACGCGCTTGGCGGCCCGGCCGCTCTGCGCTTCCCCTCGGTCGGCCTCCGTGCTCGTTCGGCCCGTGGGACACAGAAATAAATACACACACGCAAATTGCCGGAAGCCCCACGTCTACCCATATGTTCGGGGTTCCTGTCTCCCCCCCCCCCCACTTCCCATCTTTCTCCACATTTTCCTGGGAGTCGAGTCGACGATCCACTGTGTCTCTGTGTGTTCTTCCCCCCCTGAACGACGTGGGACAGTCGGGGCCCTGAAGAAGGAACCCTTTTCGTTGGGGAGGGGCTCCGTGTTCCTGAATTGCTTCGCAGTTTGCCCTGGAGTTTCCTTAGGTCTTCGATACGAAATCGAAGTTCAACCCATGGAAAATAGGGGCCTCGTTCCTTCTCTAGGCTTCCTTAGGTCAACGCCCCGGCTGCACGCCCGACGCCGCGGCGGCGGCCGGCGGCCGGCGGGCAGCCGCCCCGACGGAGCGCGCGCGCGGGGCTCGGCGCGCCCGGCCGCGCGCCGAAGTCCTCGGCCCTGCGCGCGGGGGGCGCCGCGCGCCGCCCGCCGCCCGCCGCGGGCCCGCGGGCCCGGGGCGCCGCCGCGCGGCCCGGGCGCGCGGGCGCCCTGAGGGGCCCCGGAAGCGGCGGGGCCGATTGTTTGTTCGCCGTTGCCACGGGAGTGCCCCTTGCCGGGTTCGCTCGGCTGCCGCAGGCACCGCGGAAGCACCCAATGGTCGGGGAGTTCCAGGCCTCCCTGAAGAGGCCTCCTGCGGCGGGGCCGTTTTTTTCGCCGTTTCCCAAAAAAATGTCCCTTGAGAAAGTGGATGCGGCAAAAAAAACGGCGACCGGAAAGGGCAACAAAACGGCTCCAGGATTGGAGCCGGAGCGGGAACACGTAACAAAGACGGCGACGGAACCGGTAACAAAAACGGCGTCGGAACCGGCAAAAAGAAAACGGCAAAACGGAACCGATTAAAAAAAAGGCCCTGTCGTTTCCAGGGCCCACTAAGGCGCTGGCGTCGTGCAGAGTGCGAACAAGCCATCCCCATACGACCCCCCCGCCGACAAGCGAGGCCGTTCGGCAGGCGCACCGGAGCAAGGAGCCGAGCAGGGCAGAGCTGCCGCATCAATGCCCAGGGCCGACCAGAGAGCGCCCATTATCGGGTTCGGGTGGTTTTCCTTCCCTCAATAGGAGGCCCTCTGGACACCGCCGCCGCCGCCGCCGCCGTCGCGCGGCACGAACGCTCGCGCAGTAGGCCATCTGAACACTGGCGGTAGCAACTCATGGGAGCCTCCCATCCATCCTGTCGGCTCTCGCGAACCGACGCCAATCGACGCTAAATCGACGCTAGTCGACACTGGGTCGACGCAAATCGACGCTAAGTCGGCGCCATCTCACCGACTCCCAGACGCGAATCGACGCTAGCCGCTAATCGACGCCAAAAACGTAATCATCAAGGTCTATCAGGCTACCATGATCGCAGCCCGAAAACACCCGTGTCAACGCACGTGCAAGTGCACCTTCGCTTCGCTCCTGATCTTGGGCGCTCCCACGGGCCAAGGTCACGCTCCCAGGAACCAAGGGGGTGAGCAGTAGTCGGCGGCGGGCCTGCTGGGGGGGGAAGTCAGCGGTGGCGGGTCTTCTCAGAAGGCTCGGAAAGCTTCAGGACTTCTGAGGAATTGGCTAAGCCTGCCCCGAAAAACCGAGAAAACTTCTGAGAAGGCCGGAGGGCTTCCGAGAAGCCCCGCCGCCTTCTGAGAAGGCCTGCCCCCTTCTCACTTCTCCCCTTGGGCGAGCCGCCGAATTGCGCGCCGCCGAAGTAGGCCCTCTGGACACGCATGACACTGCATGTGCACGCACGTTGTTGCTTCGCTCCTGATCTTGTGCGCTCCGAGGAGCCCACCCACCCGAAACCATATATATATATATATACATATACATGTACATACGCATATACATATGTACTATACCCGACAATTCTGGAGGTGGGCGAGGGTCCTGGTCGTGGGACTGCCATACAACATGCTTTCCCTGGGGCGAGGTTTTTGCATGCGAGTCGCGACCCGGCCCGGTGGAGTCTGCCTGTGGCGAGGATGGCGTGGTACACAACAACAAATCTTGAGGAACAACGGGAGCTAATCTGTCGACAGTCCGCGCAGATTTCTTGAATCAGCGATGGAACCCCTGCCCTGGCGCGCGGAGCGCGCCTGGGGCGGCGCTGGAGGCGCCGCGGGCGGGGGGGTCCATTGCGGATCCAAGAAACCCGCGCGGAGCGCCACAAATTTTATGTTTGCGGCGTTGTTTCTTCATCGAGGCAAGCTGGGGTTAGGTCGGGCATGTCCCCCTACAGGCAGATGTATCCCAAGGAACTGAGAAGTAGTCGAACAAATCCGCCGACCCTGTCGGCGTGCCGTCGCTACCGCCGTCGCGTCGCCGACGCCATCACGTCCCCTCCTTCCCCCGAGATCGTCGCCGATCCCCCCTCTCCTTGGGCCCCCGTCCTCATTCACGCCAGCCAAGGCGAAATACACCAAGCCCATCCACAGCAACAAAAAGCAACGTTGCCATGGAGTCGGAGGGAGGCCCCCTCCTCTTTGATCCCTTCCCCGCGCAGGGGGGGGAGGGGGGGCATCCCCGGGGGGTGGTCCTCGGGGGGGTCCCCGGGAGAATGGTCCCGGGGGGTGGTCCCCGGGGGGTGGTCCCGGGTCAGAATGCCACCCTCCCGGGGCCGTGGCCCGCCCTCTCCCTCCCGTTTCCGTCGAGGGGCCGCCATGCGACGAGGAGGCCAGAGCCGAACCTAAACGGTGTTCTTCGTCTTCGTTTTTTGCTTTTTCGTTTTCCCTCGGTGCGTCTTCAGTCCGCTTTTCAACGCAAAACGGAATCGAAACGAAAACGGCCCACGAAATCGCCCAAACACTGTTTACAAGGGCTCCGCGCTTCCCGCCGCGCGAAGCGCCAGGTGCAAATGACTTCGCGCTCTCGCGCCGCCCCCCAGGGGAGAAGAGGAGGAGGAGGAGGAGGAGGAATCGGAGCCGAACCGCGAAGCGCGAATAACTCCCCCCTCGAGCAGAGGTCCCCCACGGCCGCCGGCGGCCCAGGCAGGGGCAGAGCAGCTGCCGAGAGAGGCGGGGCTGCCGCCCTCCCTGCCAGCAGCCCCCGCCGCGCCCGCCCCCCTCCTCCCCCCTCCGCTCCCGCCCAGCAGCTCCCGCCGCTCCCGTCCCCTCCCCCCTCCCACAGAAATCTCATGGGGACGAATGTTCGGTTATTGTTTGAGTATGTCGCGGCATTTTTCTTGTTTTAAATCTATGTGTCTGTTCTCGTCCAGAATGAGCCCCTCTCCCCCCCCTCCGCCCCCCCCCAGCAGCTCCCCCCGCCCTCGCCGCCCCCGCCCTCCCTGCAGCAGCCCCCGCCGCTCCCGCCCCTGCGTGGAGCAGGGGCCGACCGTCCCGGCATGCCCACGGCCAGGTCGGGCCTGTCCCCCTACAGGGGGGATTTTGGTCGAACAATGAAGCAGACGCCAAACAGATTCAAAAGATGCCCCAAACATACTCCAAAAAAGTCCCCGGAGTATTTTTCGACTGTTCTTGAACAGTCCCTCTGCACAGGGACAGGCCCGACTTAAGCCTACGGGCCTGCCACGACATCTTCTCGGAGCAGAGAGAGAGCCCGTGTCGTCCCTCGTCAGGAGCCCTCGGCGGATCCCGATGGCTATCCCTGTGCGATCCCCGTGAGGGCGGATCCCCGTGCGGACATCTATGCGGATGCCCATGCGGATCCCTAGTCGGCTCCCTATGCGGATCCCTATGCGCTCGGCGGCAGTGCCGGGGGTGCTCTGGGGAGGGGAGCGTTACGTTATTGGGGGGGGGGGCTGGGGACATGACGCGCGTTTTGGCCCAATCAACAAAGAAGCACGCTCAACGAATGTTCTGAGACCGAAAACAACGCTCTCAGAACGTAGAACCGACGGGTGACAACAAGACAGACTCGACCAGACGTGCTTAATGTGTGAATACTTCGAACACAAGATGTCCTCAGAACCTCACTTGGCAGGCCCACTAGGTAAGCCAGGGCGCCCCGCCACTGCTTTATTGCGCGCGCCGCTGAACGAGATTGCACCTTGCCCTGATGTCGGGTGTTACTGGAAGTGGCCCTGCCCCAGGAGGATCTCGACCGCCCCGACGGCCTCCCCTCGAACGAAAAATTCAAGGCAGGATGAGGTTAGATTCGGACGAGGAGAAATCGGGAATGCCTAAAAACAACGGGTTAGGGGGATGCATAGGACGCCACTGCCGTTCCAAAGGTGACCCGGAGGGCGTTCCAGAACGCCTTGGAGAGATGAGCGTTTTCTTATTCGGCGTTTCGGCATTGGGCGGAAGGAAGGTGGGGGGTCTGGCTCTGGACCTCTGCTTCATGCGACTGTGCTTGCGGCAGTGCGTCCTGTGTGGGAGACTCGACCTGCTGGAAGCAGGTGCCCAAAACAACCAAGGTCTAATTATTCCATGGGAGGGCCCGTGCAGATCGACAAAACAATGAATGCGAAAACGATGAC